GTCTAAAATACAAGTTTTAGAAAGACATTTCTCCATCAACTCCAAGCTTTCTGTTTCTTGATGGTAAATCCCAAGAGGAATTGGCTTCAGGAAAATTCAGGAACTGAATTCAGGATGTTCCTTTCACTGGACAGGTGATGATGAATTTGAAGTGAGAACAATAGGAACTAAGCTTAAAGAGCAGAAAAATTTTAGGTTAAATAGAAGGAAAAATTTTATAGAGAAATTTTATCAGTTAAGTCCCAATAGGACACAGGTAATATAAAGTTACAACTTGACAAGAGGTTAATAAAGGACCTGTTCACAAAGGTGTGTCTGGTGTGTAAGGAACAGAAGCTGTTAGCATCCTTGGACCTGGTGGCAGGAGATGTAGCCAGAATATGGGAGTCGGAATCATGTGTGGAGGAGCCCTTGAGAGAACCTGTGGCTTTCCATTAAAGGACACAGCCAGGCAGAGACTACAGAGGAGGGACCAGGAGAAAAACTACCATAATCCCATTCTTCCTGCCATCCTCAGGTCTGCCAGGGCTCCCCATTGGCTGGACTTGAGTAGAGACCAGAGGGCAAGGGAACCACATTGATCCAGCCTCTGCTGGTCAGCCTCCCTGGAAAGAAAGCAGTGTAATGAAGAATGGAGAGAGGATAGGCAGATGCCGGCAGGGGCTATCCTGCCCTCTGCACACAAGCTTCAGTGGTCAGCATGCAGTGAATTCCTAAAGTGGGTGCAGAAAGAATTCTTTTCGGAGAAGGTTTGGAAACCTGCAGATTATTCTTACAATTAGAGTATCCTTCCAGCTGTCATAAATTCTGGTATGTTACAAGTGCAAGAAGAAAAAGCTGCTAATGGACCTAGTGAAAGTCATTTTGTAATAACAAATTGTTCCCCCAAAGAGGAAATACCTATTATTAATAATAATAAGACTGATTGCATAGCAGTGTTCAGTGTACAAAGGACTTTCCTAGACATCATTGTGTGATTCTCTCATTCGTCTTGGGAGGTAGCTAGGAAAGTAGACCTGTTGAACAGATGGAAAAGGTGAGTCTTACAACCGTTACCTGAGATATCATAGCAAACAAGTGGGAAAGCCTGAATTTGATCCAGGTGTCTTGATTCCAAATTCAGGTGCTTTCTACAAGGAGAAACTCAAATCACCTGCAATGATTTTTTTAAAAGGCAAGAATGATGAAATATAAGAAATTCTTCCTCTTCCCAGATATAGCTGAATGGGCTTTGTGACTATTATATTTGTCATTAGTAGCTCCTGTTATACTGTCTTCTGTTTGTGAGGGATGCCATCTGTTGACGGTTGGGATGGAAATTTGGGTCTTGGTAGTTATACTTGGTAGTTAAAAACCATTTTAACTAGGTTAAAGGAGAGGGGTCCATCTTGAAGGTCCTTGTAAATCCTAAGTGGGTCTCCTATAATGCCAATATTTTGTGGCCTTGAACCTAATCCAATCTCTAAAAAAGATATGCTTGATATCTTCATCATCCCCATGTCTGATATATGCTGCAGTGTTCTACACTGGGTAATATAGGTGACTACTTGGCCAATGTGTTTTAATAATAGTAATGAAAAAGCCATACACAGAAATAAATTTGGCAACAGTGCATGGTGAATCTGTAAACAGCCTGTGTGCCTTGGCCCAGGTCCTCATTCTGGGGTTTGCAGGGGTGGCAGGGATTTGACTTTCTCATTGTCAGCCCCTCCCATGCAGAAGGGAAGCTAAGCCTACCAGGCAGGGAATCCTGGAGGCATTCCCTCATCTTGCTTTGTGGTTCTGACATTTCAGAAGTAGCCCCATTCGTTGTATGATCTCACACTCTTGGCAGTCAGATTCAGGATTTTCTTCTTTTACTTAAAGAAAATAATATGTTTATATATAAAATAAAAGCAATTTCTATAAATCCCTGATTGTAAGCATTCAGTTGGCTAAGTTTTGACAGTTGGATACATCCATCTGGTGAAAACAAGATATAGAACATATTTATCACTCCAGAAAATTTCTTTATATCTTCCCAGACAACACCATTACTCCACACTTCCTCCCTGTCAGAAAATAGGCAGCCACTCTTCTAATTTACATCACCATGATTACTTTGTATATTCTTGAACTGCATGTAAGTGGAATCAAATAGTGTCTGGCTTATTTCACTCAATGTCATGTCTTTGAACCTCATTTGTTGTGCATCAGTAGTTTGTTCCTTTTTATTGCTAGAAGTGTTCCACTGTTTGAACATATCATAATTTATTTATTTTCCCTTGTTGTTGGATATTTGAGTTCTTTTCCTTTTTTTATCTAATATGAATAAGGCTGCTACCTGCATTCTTCTATAAGTCTTTTTGAAGGCAGTTTCACTTCTCTGGGTCTGTTCCTAGGAGTGGAGTGGCAGGTCATAGGGTAGGTGTATATTCAGATTTCTGGCAGTTTTTTAATAAATATTTTATTTTGGAATAGTTTTAGATTTACAGAAATATTGCAAACATAATGCAGAGAGGCCTTGTGCACCCCATACTCCATGCCCCTGTCACTGACTGTCACTGACGTCTCACATCGGCATGATACCTTCGTCACAGTTAAGGAACCAGTACTGACATACGATGATCAGCTGAATCCTATGCTCTTAGATTTCTGTAGCTTAAACTTTGTGTTCTTTTTCTATCCATGATGCTATCCTAGAATCTCCCATTACATTTATTTGTCCTGTTTTCTTAGGCTTCTCTTGGCTGTGACAGTTTCTCAGATTTTCCTTGTTTTTGATGACCTTGACCATTTTGAGGAGAACTTGTCAGGTATTTTGTAGCACGTACCTCAGTTTGGATTGTCTGATGTTTCTCTCACGATTAGACTGAGATAATTCAGGTTTTGCGGAAGACCACAGAGGTAAAATGCCATTTTCATCACATCTAATCAAGGGTACATGCCATCAACATGACTTACCAGTGATGTTAAGCTTGGTCACGTGGTTACTGTCATGTTTGTCAGGTTTCTCCACTGCCCCATCCCTCCACATCCTCTTTTCATACTGTATGCTTTAGAAGGAACTTGGGGGAGTGAACTCTTAAGTAGTAGGGAGCTGAGGGTGTAGTGTCTCCACAGATTGTTTGAATTTAGTATGGAAGATTTATATTTCATTTTTAAGAAATGACAGTTTTCTAAAGTGGTGGTACTATTTCATACTCAGACAAGCAATGTCTGAGAGTCTATGTGTTCCTCATCCTCACCAACACTTGCTGTTGTCAGTCTTTTTACTTTTAACCATTCTACTTGGTGCAAAGTGGTATTTCACTGTGGTCTTAATTTGCATTTTAATTTGATGAATAATGATGTTGGGCACCTTTTCATGTACTTATTGGCTATTCCTGCACCTACTTTTATGAAATATCTGCTCAAGTCTTTTGCCCAATTTTTTATTTGGGTTATTTGTCCTTTGATTACTGAGTTGTGGGTAAAGGTTCTTTGCTCCATTTATGCATGAAGGTTCTTTGTCCAATATATGCATGGAGTATTTTCCTAGCCTGTGGCTTGCCTGTTGATTTCTTCACAGTGTCATTTGATGAGCTAGATTTAAGATTTTAATGTTGGGGACCAGTACTGGGAGTAATGGACCCTCACCCATTCTATATCTGATGCTGCTAATTTTTACTTATGAAGATTAGTGGTGTGCTGGTAGGCAGAAGGATTATAACCACACTTTCTTTTCAAGGCATCTGATATTGCATTAAAAGAAAATTTCCAGAGGAAAGTTCAGTTCAAGACTTCCCCATGGTAACAATAATTGTGTTGCTGGGTGTGAAGATTCCAGATATATTAGGTCTCTTTGAGTAGCAACTGTCAACGCAAGGAAGAAGCCTGTGTAAGAAGACCATGTTCTGTCCTTTGCCAATTATGCATTCTCATGAGTGACACGGTATAAGAGGGGGCATGTGCTCCATGCTGCTCAGGTTGCACCCCACAGACACAAAGGAATCTAGCCTGCCAAATAGTAACAGTGGCTGCTGCCAGCATCTTCCCCAAGATTCGACGACAGGGTGCACAGTTCTTTTACAAATTAACAAAACAAGGAGAGAAGTAGAAGCCAGACTCCTCTCGGGATGAAGAAAGACTTCCTCTTAGGAAAAGGGGCATCGTGTGATATTAAATGTTGACTTATAACATGGGTCTGGGGAGATGCTTGCAAGCTTCTTGGAATACCAGCAATAAAAAACAAACTTTCTATATTAAGAGTTTGTGTGTGAACTCATTTACTAGCCAATTCTGACATATCCACTACCTGAAATTATGCTTGGTTCTAACACTAATAACCATTGGCTCCAATCTTTTATATTTGTGATAAAGTTTGATTTTGATAATAATCATAGTTCTTAAGTTAAAAGGCCTACATAATCTCTAATTTACACTAAGAAAATATTGGCTTCTTGGTTGAGTTCTGTTGATTCTTAATTATTTAGGGTATTATTTGCAATACGTAACTTTGGAGAAAAATACAAAGATGATTGTACAGTTATGCTTTAGTACCTAAACTGTTTGGAATAGAAAAAAGACTCATCTTTTTTTTCACTTGTATACATGACTTGGGTTGCTAATGGGCCTAAACACCTTGATATTCCTGGGTTCCACTTATATCCTAGAATTCTCCATTTGTTTACTTACCCTTGATCCTGCAAAACTCAGAAAAAATACCAATGGCTCAAGCAAGAAACAGCCAGAGCTTAATGTAATGTACAGATAAAAGATAAGGGAGTCAGAACTCTCTTATATGCAAAGGGGGAAAAAATTAGGGACTTAAATTACTGAGAGGACTTGAGAGTCAATGGCATTCCTCAGCGCGATGAAAAAAATTCTGAAACATGGAAAAAAAGTTTGTACATTAAAAACATGATTCTGACTTTAAAAAGTTTCCTCTAGGAAGAGAATGTGAGTTTTGTATTCAGACAAAGCTATCGCTGAGTTTAGCTATTGTGCGGTTCTAACTGCCTCTCTTCTTGCTGTTTCAGGTGAACCTCTTCGTGCTGCTCTCTGTGGTGTGTGTCCTCTTAAATTTAGCTGGATTTATCTTAGGCTGCCAAGGGGCCCAGTTTGTGTCCAGTGTGCCCAGGTGTGACCTGGTAAGCAGTCCTAAAACATTGCTGTGCATCTGGGCCGACCCTGGCTGGTCTGGGCTTCCTGCTCTGCCGGGTGTGGCTAACTACACCCAGCAATAGGCAACGTCCGCGGTTGAAACCTGAAGTTGGTAAATGGAAGCAGGAAACAAAACAAAGAGCTGCCTGCTAATTACCTTACTCAGGTTGTCAGTTATTTTTTCCAAAGCAGGTACCGGCCAGCAGAACCCCAGGACCCCATATTATAATACATTATTAGTTAGTGAGTGGATGGATCAGGTGTCCACAATCGATATCTGTCTGTTCTCATCTAAAGAGGAAAATGGATATTACCAGAACATAGGTCAACAGTCCTTTATCCTAAACCTTTGGGGGCCAGGTGTGTTTCAGCATTTAGAGTTTTTCTGACTTTTAGAAGATAAATGGGATACACATACTATTCATTCTGTAGCAGTCCGGTGGAGTTTGAGACAGCAGGCTGTCACCAAAATTTTTGCTTTTCAGAGCCTTTTGGATTCCAAAACTGGATAGAAGGTTGTGGACCTGTACCACCTCTGAGGTTTTCTTTTTTCTTATTTTTAATTGTGGTAAAATACACACACCGCGGAATTTACCATCTTAACCATTCAGGAGTGTTACATACATTCACATTGTTATGCAACCAATCTCTAGAACTTTTTCATCTTGCAAAACTGAAATTCTGTACATATTAAACAACAACTCCTTCCCACTGGCAAGCTACTTTCTGGCTCTCTGAGTTTGACTGCTATAGGTCCCCAGTATAGGTGCAGTCAGACAGTGTGTGTCTTTTTGTGACTGGCTTATTTCACTTAACCTAAGGTCCTCACTGTGTCCAGATGTTGTAGCATGTGTCAGAATTTCTTTCTTTTCTAAGGCTGAATAACATTCTGCTGTATGAATAGGACACATTTTGTTTACCTGTTCTGCTGTCAAAGGGTATCAGCGGTTAGAGCTGTGTGGATACTGTCGCCATAAAATGGCTTTGGAGATGTCTTCTGAAGACTTTGCTTTCAATTCCTGGGGTATATACCCAATTTCTGGCCATCTTTGAACTTTTAAAAAGACCACTCAGTAACAAATACATCTCTGTGCCACAAAGCTCTTTAGAAGCTGTAGTAAATCTCACCTATTTGGAACTTGGTTTCAAGGCAGTCTCACCCCTTAGAAACCAGGAGGATGCAAGCAAAATAGGCTGCCACAATTCTCAAAATGCTGTGATAAGGCCCTTTCAATGAAACTCAAGACCTTCCCAAACAGGTAGACTCCTCAGGGACTCAATAAATACCTGCTGTTCATTCTTATTAATCCTTTGCAAATTGCTTGAGTTTTTCATCCCATTGCTCAATAACCTTAGGTTATGGAAACACAGGCTGACCACCTTTTCTGATTTTTAAGGCCCTCTGCGATCTGCCCTTGTCCCCACCTCTCCCTGGAGCTGCTCACCTTCTGAGGCACGGAGCGGAGGTCTGTGTGTCCTTGCCCAGGCTCCTGCCCTACTTTCGTATTTCTAACAGTGCTGCCTTGTCACCCAGAATTCCTTGCCCCTTACTTCTCCCTTCGTCCACAGGGTATGCGTCATTTAAGGCCCCATTCAGAGGTTATCTCCTTCAGGAAATAGTCCCTTATCCCCAGAGAAGTTATTCTTTGGGAATATCCTTTCTATACATCTCTTAGGCATTTACCTTTTTGTTTCCTGAGCTAAAGATACTCATATACCTACCTGTCTTCTCTCTTCTTCCAGGCTGGGATCTCCCTGAGGGCAGCATCTGTGCACTATTATTTTGATAATTTCTAACACCTTGTCACCCCTGCCACCCCCCAAATCCTTTATATACATAAAATCCCCTGAAAAAATTTTTGAACAAAGCCTGTACTTCCAATTACTAACCACACATCAGATTAGAAGGGGCAGAGAGAGCAGACAAAGGTTAGAAGTGAAATGTTGTAATATACTGAAAGATGATTTTGCAAAATTGTAGCATCTGTTAAATGCAGGACCCTGTGTTAGAGGCTGCAGAGTAGAAAGAAAAGTTAGAATTGCTTCTGACATAGAAGTGTACCATGTTGCAAGTGGAGTAAGATAAGTACATTTGATCAGTGTTTGTGGAGCCAGTGAATAAATGCCCAACTGCAAAGCAAGCAGATTGTGATCAGCCATCAGAGTGAGGCCCAGAGCTCAAGGGATGCGAAAGAAGAAGGGCTTGTCTCCATGGGAAGATGGGGAAAGCTACTGGAATATAGGCATTTGAGATGGATATAGATATTTCGGTAAATAAAGAGTGGGTATGTTATGAGTTGAGTTTATTCTCCATTCTTATCCACACAGAAACAAAGAAATGAAAGGCAGAGACACAATAGTGAAGCAGAGTGAAAGTTTCACTTGAATACACTCCACGGGAGGAGTGGGCTAGCAGTGCCTCTGTGACAGACAGGGAGGTCCCTCTATACAGCCCTCCCTCTCAGTGAGCACATCGTTTCCCCTGCTGAGGTGTGATTTGGGCAGTTCTTAGTTCCGTTCAATTGTACCCTGGTTGAGCTCCGGTTAGGGAGGAAGTTATCTCCTTGCAAAGCCTTTGGGACCCACTACATGGGTAGAGTCTGGGTGACTTTTTCTTTGAACCTTATGTTCCCCTTTTCTAGCTGCTCATGGAAACATTCCTAGCAGATAGAAACCACGAGAGAAGAGGATTCAGGGGGTAGCGGTGAGAAGCAGCTTTGGAGAAAACAAGCCAGATTGCAAGGGATTAAGGGTGAATTTGGTCAACTTTTCTGAGTTCTCTACTCTGGCTGCTCATTAGAATCAGCTGGGGGCACTTCCTGAAGAATACCCAGACTTGGCCCACATACCCAGAGATTCTCAGTTGGACTGGAGTGGGGGCCTAGGTATCAGTATCTTTTTAAGCTTTTAAGTGCATTTTTAATTAAAAAATTTTCCCACCACAAAACCAACTCTGTGATTATTTCTAATTATACAACTGTGAAAATTTGGACAAGCCATAAAAGTATACAACAGAACTTAAAACTTAAAAATCACTTGAAACCTCACTGCTCTGGGATAATTTTCCACCAATAGGACCATATCATGATTGTTGATTTTCATTAGGGTGGCTACCTGACAAATGAAGTCTTGTTGGGTAAGGAGATGCTTCCCTCCTCTTTCCCTCTCCACCCACTTCAGTCGCTTCAAATCCAAGGTACCAAGTCAGGGAGTTTCCTACCATGTTTCATGCTTATATAATCTTACATAAATACGTATGGGGTGGAATTACTCATTATTGCTTTTACAAAAATAGGATGTATTGTATTCACTTCCCTGTATATTGTTTTTCTCACTTAAAAATGTATTAGATACATTATCTAACATGGTTTTTTTCTTTAAACAAGTTAGTTCTCTGTTTTCTTGTTGTTTGTTCTGCTTTGGATTCTGACCAATAGAAACAGTGCTACAACCAATATTCTGCATATCCTCCTGGGGCTTTGGCCAAAGTGGACCAAACTCCCAGGACAGAGATTGTTCCTAGTGGGGAAGGTGTTTCTTCTGTTTGTCTCATTTTTTGTTACACATTCAACCATTTGATGAAACTGTCCATTTTTTAAATTTGAGATAAAACTCGCAGTGAAATGTACAGATCTTGTGTACAGTTTGTTGAGTTTCTATCAATGTATACATTTATCTTGACAAATGTATGCATTCATGTATATACCCCCAAACATTTTCATCACTCTAGAAAGTTCTCTGGTGCCTTCTTTCAAGCTGTTTCTACTCTCTCATAGGCAACCACAGTTCCAATTTGTCTCACCGTGGAGTAGTTTTGCCTGTTCTTGAACTTTGTCTAAATGGAGTCATACAGTTTGGTGTCTGACTTATTTTGCTTGGCATAATGTTTTTGATATTCACCCATGATTTTGTGTTCATCAGATGTTTGGGCTTTTTTTTCTTGTACAGCAGTATTTCGCTGTAGAAAAATATCATAATTTGTTTTACCCATTCTCCTGTTGATAGGCATTTGAGTTGTTTCCAGTACAGGGGTATTATGAACAAAGCATTTTTGTATAGTTGTGGGGTTTTTTTTTGTGATCCTGTTGTCATTTCTCTCGAGTAAAATGTGTGGGCATGGAATTGCTGGTCATGGTGTAAATGTATGTCTCACTTTATAAGAAACTGCTAACTGGTTTTCCAAGGTGGTTAGGGAATAAGTATTTTTAATTTAAAAAGTGTGGCCAGTTCCTTAAATAAAGGGCTTCAACACACATTTCAATGGGTAACCCATTAACAGCAACAAGGGCTTCTCTCTGGTGGGGCCCAATTGCTAAGAATGGCATTGTCATTTTTTAAAAGCTTCCCAGAAGATTCTAATGGGCAGCTAGGGTTGAGAATCATAATTGGATGATGAAGGGAGGAAGGAGAGGATCTGACAGCATCAGGTCATAGTAGCAACATTGAAGGTTGGATGTTTTCCTTTAGGATTGTGGAGACTTGAGCAGTCATTTTTGTTTGCAGATGTTTAGAGAGATGGAAGAGAAGTTAGAATAAGTTTTCAGAAATGTTGTTCAGAGATGGATTAAGAAGGGAGATGAAGCATCAGGAGCAGGGTGAACAAGGAACACAAGTTCACAGTTGCCTAGTGTTGTTTTGTACAGAGCTTCAGGGCTTCTTGATTCAGCTGGGCAAAGTAAATGGTATTCATTATTATTTGAATAATGACTAAAGGTTCAAAAAGTCTTGTTTAAAGGGTTTAACCTGTACCCATATGGCAGATTCTTCCATCCAGGCTGGCTCTTCCCCAAAGTTCCAGACAGCTGAGATTTCCATGTACCTGGGTGTCCAATGTTATGTGAATAATGCAGCCCTGGTTTCTCTCTTAACTGAATGCCTTGTGTAAAGAATGGACTTGTGTGGGGAGTATTCTGTAACATGACACCTGGTATTACCTTAGGTAAGATCTTGAGGCTCACACAAGTACCAGAAATAGAAATTGCACTGTGTCATGTTGAAAAAAGTGGGCTTGATTCCTTTTTTGGGGGAAGAATCTGTCCTTCTTTACATGAGCAGAATGGAGACACGAGCAGCATGTACCACCTCTACTAGCTGCTTATATGTTACTATTAAATAGTGCTGTTAATATTCAAACAGGAAATTCTTGGCTGGAGATGTTAAAGGAGGAAGCCCTTTGGGAGTAATATTTACCTACTGACTTAGCCCAGTGTAAGAACTATTGTTAATTATGGAAGAGGGTCCTGGAGGAACCAGTGATTCTTGGGAGGAAATAAAAGGTGCCAGCTGCCTAGACCCTGCCTAGAGAAACTGTCTGAAGGGGCACAGCCATTTTCCTTTAGAAAGCAAGAATCTAGTATAGACATCAGCAGGAGGATGGAACTTCAAAACTGAAACAATGGCAGAAAAATCAAATACTAACAGCCTTGTGCCGTTGGGTGTGTGGGGTTATGGCTGTGTGGGACATTGTTGAGAGAATCTCTGTGGACAAACCAGGGAAGGACAGCAACCAAGTGGAAATGAATTGATAGAGATTATGGAATCCATCGAGGTGACTCTACTTGGAGCTGGAGGCAGGATTGTTTGTATAGAGGCAGAATTTATATCAAAATCTGGGCATCAGTGTTTGATATAATAATGTATCCCTTTCATTATGGTTTAAGGACAAAGAATAAAAAATGTTATAGAATCTGTGGAATTCTGGAAGAAGCAAAACTAATCTATGTGGAAAAAAATCAAAACAGTAGTTGCCTTTAGGAGGGTGGGGGCAAGGATTGATGGGGAAGGGGCATGAGGGTATTTTCTCCTTCGGTGATTTGTTCTCAGGGTATGCATTGCTCAAAATCCCTCGAATGGTGTGCTTAAGATTTGCATACATAAATTTTTTATGTGTATGTAAATTTCACCTCAAAAGAAAGAGAAAAACAAACCAAAAATGTTGTATAATCAAGTAGTGGAATTTTTTTTCCCTTAGCTTCCTAGTCAACTTGTATTATAGGAAACTAAGTTTTCTCCTAATTTGGAAAAATATCATGAAGTTTATTACTATGTCTAGAGGATAGGAATCTTAATAAGAGAAAAGACTTTTTCGGTTAAGTGACTAAAACATTGCAGATGTTCATTCTTAAAGATTCCTGAAGAATTTTGCAGCTAGAAAAGTGCCTAATTAACTAACTTAACAAGTATGAAAGAGGTGTGGCTTTTATTTTTAGCCAAAATAGACTAGCCAACTTCAACAGCTCAAGCAGCAGAGCAAGTAAGAATAAATCTTTGCTCTCAAATGGGTCTTATTAGCCCAAATCAGGTCTTACATATTTTCATAACTTGACCAAAGGGAAACTTGGAAAAGTGACCAAAAGTTTGCAGATCATCTCACTAAAAGCATATGAGATTACTTATCACTGATGTTTTCACATCAAATAAAGGAAACTTCTTCTAGAACCTATGACCACATTGAAGATGTAAACTAAGAGATGTCTTTAAGCTTACATGGCTAAGGGCTACTGCTCACCAAATATACCCTGTGTTTCTTACAGGCACATGGTAATGAATTTCCTTGCTCTCTTGGAGTTAGTGGGGCCATAGGATTTGTTTCGGCAATGAAATGTGAGCTAAAGTGGTGAGTGCCATTTCTGAGAGGAGATTTAAACTGCAATTTTTGGATTTAGCAAGTAAAAACACAGAGCACCTAATTAAATTTGAATTTCAAATAAACAGCTAATAGTGTTTTACTATAAACATGTCTTATTCAATATTTAGGACATAATTGTACCTAAAAAATGATCTGTTGTTTATCTGGATTCAAATTTAACTAGGCATCTTGTATTTCTTCCGGCAACCCTACTTTAAGTGCCCATGTGCATTTCATCACATGTTCTCCATCTCTCTGGCATAGTGACCATCTATCCTGAGATGGTAGACACTCCACTAACCTGGGTTCCAAAAGGAATATGATGAGCAGAGCCTTCTGCAGAGTGGCATGTGACATATTCAAGAAATAACCTTGTAGGTTAAGCCATCGAAATTTAGGGTCTGGCTGTTACCACAACATACCGTAGCCTATCCTGACTGATACAGGACCCCGCCTGCCATGGAACTCTACCATATCTCATTCTGTAGGATTGGTGCTACATGGTGTCACCTGGGTATTTATTCTTAATAATTTATTATTCTTTCATTTCTTCCTTAAGGTGGACTTAGGTGAAGGCAAGATTTGCTTCTGTTGTGAAGAATTTCAACCAGCCAAATGCACAGACAAAGAGAATGCCTTGAAGCTCTTTCCAGTTCAGCCTTGTAGCGCTGTTCACCTTCTACTTAAGGTACCCTGGATGGGATCCACCTCCCACTGATAAATATGCTTTAGAGCCACCAGAGAGGGCAAAGTTACTGGAAACAGCCCTACTCTGTTACTTCCCTCAAGCAGTTATGCTGCTGAAAGCAAATGTGAGTGGCCCCCGATCCATGACCCAGAGGTGGGAATAAGTGCAGGGAAAACCACAGGTGACCAGTTGTCTCTTAAATTGTGAATGGATGGTTGTCTGTGTTTGAGAATGATAACACATTCAAAAATGTAAAGGAGCCCCAAGTATTTACATGTGTATGTATGTACATATATTTATATACATACATACACATATATAAACACATACAGGTCTGCAGAAGATACATAGCTACACATATATGATGGAGCTTTGAGCAAAACCTCAAGTTACATGCCCATTTGTCACGGGTTCTCCTTTGTTCACTTCTGTGAGTCCTGTGCGTGGCTGAGTGCTGCTGTTTCAGGACACAGACTTAGGAGAGATACTAGCCAGAAAATACAAGGGCTATTTGAGCACACTGCCTCTTGTTTAATAAGCAGCAGCTGTAATAAGCAAAAGAGATAAAAAACAAATGATACTGTTGGAGAGAAACACAAAATTCACCTTAATTAGAGAATTAGACAAAATTGAATTAGATAAAAATTAGGTAAGAACTATGAGCTCTGTGAGTGGCAAGATCAGTTAGTGAACCCTGAGGTATTAGCTTTTTTTGGATAGTCCACCACTGACAGCTTGCTTTAGATCTCTATTTTGGCTTAAGTTTTTGTGGGGAGGAGGAATCTCTAAGCAAAGACAGAGAAGCTGCCAGCTCCCTGGGTTGTGTAGGATGTAAAAATGGCCTTCTTTCTTTGGCTTCTGGATTTTTGATGGCTGAGTCACCCCCAAACTTTCTGAGTCAGGACTTTGCTTGGGGAAAGCCCTGCTAAGCTGCCGGGCCTGTGCTAACAGAAACTTTTAGAATTACTTTTGCTGCTATTTTGAGATGTGTGTCTAAAGTAGAGACACCCTGTTTACACTCAGGTTGGCCTGCCCCCTGTGTTGTCCTAGTTGGGTGCCCAGGACAGCTCCTGAAATAGAACCAATGGCCACAAATCAAGCAGCATGCTCTCAGGATGGGAGGCTGTGGGTGGGCGAGATAGGGAACTGCTGTCACGGAGCATACCAACTTCAAAAGAGGATCTCAGTGCTGTCCTGGAAGGAACATTTCCAGTCAGTATTCTGAACCTTACAAAAAGAAGTATTGTAATACCAGGTTTTCTGGGACAGGAAGCTTCTAAGATAAATTTTTAAATTCAGAAGTATTAAGACGAGTGCATGAGTCTTAATAATAGCCAGTATTTATTAGCATTTAACATCATCTAAGTCCTTTACATGTATTTTCTCATGAAAATTGTCTTACTGAGACACTATTTTTATTACTTTAAAAGTTTTTATATTGCATCCTGCTCATCAGCTTTGAAGTACTCCATTGCGACATTGTTTCCTTGTTCCAGAAAGTCCTTTTCGCTCTGTGTGCCTTGAATGCCCTGACCACTACTGTTTGCTTGGTGGCAGCTGCCCTTCGCTACCTCCAGATATTTGCAGCCCGGAGATCCTGCATCGTAAGTCCCTGCACGGTGACACCGTGGTAGTGCTTCTGCTGAGCCTGCCCACGGGCCTTTATGTGTAATCCATGGCTTGTCTCCTTGGGCCTTTGTGGTAAAGGTTGTTGACTAACCAGGGTACTGTCTTATTAGGATGAATCTCAGATTTCTGCAGATGAGGTGGAAGAGCATGGACGCATCCCGGACCCTGAGGACTTTGTGCCCCCAGTGCCTCCGCCTTCCTACTTCGCCACGTTGTACTCGTGCACACCCCGGATGAGCCGCAGGTACCTTCCTGAGTCCTTACCCTCTCTGGGGTTCCCTCTGTTTCAAAGATGAAGGGTCTCTAGGACCAAAACCACAAGCTTTGGCTTCTCTTCAAAATCTAGACAGATTGTGTTATTTTTCAGGATTTTCTGTGTTCTCCCCTGACTCATTTGCTTTCTTTTCTTCTGAGAAGCTACCCAAAGAAAAGTCAAACCTAGACCTAAGGATATACATTTTCAATTTCAATTAGCTTCCTGGGAAAACTGACACCCAGCGAGATAACTGCTATAATTTGACATGATTGGGCACTACTGTTGCCCCGGAAACGCTCTCAGGTCAAATCGATGCTCATTAGAACACCATAAGCAGGTCCCCAAATCATGAAATTCTTCCTAGCCATTAAAAAAGATGAATTATTAATTAAATTTCCCTGGCCTAGAAAAAATAGACACCATGCTTATCTTTCTTTTCAAATTTAACTCAAAATTTGATCGACTTTCTTAAATCTTGGGAATTATTTGTAGAATTGAATGCTGCATGCAGTCGTCTGGTTGTTAATGACTTCTTAAATTGTATCTCTTTAAAGAATGGCTTCATTTATTCATTCAACAAACATCTAGTCAGTCATCTGCCCTTACTAGTCACTGTTGGGTTATTGAAATTCAAAATGAATTATATCCATACCCTCCCCCGTCAAGGAGTTCACAGTTTAGGTCATTAAAAGTGAATGTTGGAAGAATCACAATAGGACTGAAAGAGATTTTGAGTGCACAGAGGAGGACCACCTAACCTGGAATGGAAAATGGGTTGAAGAGAGCTTGCAGGACAAGTCAGCCAGTCGGGGCTAGCTTCTTGGTCTAGGTGATTCTTAAGGTGAACTTAAAAGATAAGCAAGCCTGTATTAAAGCTTCCAGAAGAAAACCTCTGAATTCTACAAGAAAGACTAGTGGCCACAGCTTGATATTCAGAGGGCCAGGAATTTCTACTTTTCTTATCCATGAGGTACATGTGGATAGTTGTCAAACAGATTTGGTTGGGGTTTTTGGAAATCCATTTTCTAATGCTCAGGACAGTCATGTGACTTTGATACAGGTTGCCAGTGGGATCTGCCACCCAGACTCTTACTGTTCTTTTCAATGGGGTATCTTCCTGACTTGTCCCTCCAAGTCAAACCTAAACCCCCACCCCAATGCCAGGAAGAGGTAGAGATGATCACAAAGCTGGAGGGGACACTAGCTGGGTGGAGATGGCCTGGGGTCAACATGGGGGACAGTTCAGCTTCACTGTTGTTCTGGGAGTGGCATACTGGAATTTCAGAGTTTCAGAGGCCAGGACAGCTTCCCTAGCTTTTTAGGAAATAAGACAAGGCTTACATGGGCTAGAGAGACATAGCAGCAAATCAATCTTTGAGTTCCATAGTGACACACTGGCTAAAACCATAGCGTGATCTTAGGCTCTCTGCAGAGGGCTCGTTGGAGGACAGTAAAAATGCCTGTTATTCATGGTCAGGAAGAGAAATATCCTCTTCTGGAAGAAGAACTGCTGGGCTCTCTGGGGTTGTGGGTGAGCACTTGGTTGACCTAAGAGAAGGCAACAGACAGATTTAATTTCCTGCAGTGGCAGTAAGGGAAAGTGACTCATGCGGGTGTAGGAGTCATGCTATCAGCTGTGTGTCCTGGAGACCCCCTCCGCGACCTTCCTTTCTCCTCTCTCTCTCTTTTCTCTTCTCTGCTCATCCATACTAATGCTTATTAGTGTGGGTATTTCCATTCTTTGAGGATCTGAGTGCCTCCCTGGATTTGTCCTTTTGAGTCCTGAGACAGCTTCTGGACAAATCCAGGTTGAAGAAGACAGGCAACCTTCCCATCCAGGGTCTTACCATTTAGAACTTTCTGAAAGGAACATGTGAGAAAGAAGACAGCTGCTCAGCCTGGAGTGTATACCTGGAGCCTTAGATCATATCTCGAGCGGCAAACACCCTCATTTCCTGAAATTCTACCAATATCAGAGAGCAATCATCTTTCCTTTTTTAAAATGGCTGAATTTTAGATACATAGTCTCTCAAAAATATTTTTAAATTTGACCAACTTTGCTACATTGTCGGTATAAATCAACTTTATAGACACCAGCTGTTCAACCCCAATTGGTAATTTTCTTTCTTGTAGGCAGGCAGTCAAGAATATTAATAAGTGTTTTCATTCATATTTCCACAATCAGTATGTTGAAGAGTTTTCACACAACAGAGGCTCTCCATTCCCTGTAAGGTATTATGACTTCTCAGAAGAGGTTTTTTTTAATTTGTATAAATACAACCCTTCATCATTGGGATATTCTTGAGAAAGGGCTTCTCAAGTTACTGTCATAAACAGAAGTCCGACTGCAGTCAAGGCTTCTGCGCACAGATGGGTCATGTGCTTTGTGAATCGATTTGAAAGGACAGGAGGGGGCCGTGTGCCCCATTACCCCAGGGAGTCCCCCATTATCAGAAACAGGCTGGAGCCAGGAGACAAAAAGGGGAGTCTCCAGCCAAATTTGTGCCTGTGGACCTGGTTGCACTGTGGGGATGTTACAGGTTCCAGAAAACTGAAGATGGAGGTGGTGGGAGCCAGGTGGACATGGGCATTTCTCAGGGGTGAACACAGCAAAACCCACCCATTTCCTTTCCTGATGACCTTCAAAACCTAAACTCAGGTGGGGCTGTGTTGTGCTGGCGCTTGACTCGAGCTCAGCTGTCGCGTAGGGTGCCCCTGCCACACTGCACCCTCTGCAGGCAGTGACCCTACCACCTTGTGCCCAATGGGAGGACACAGGTTTTCCAGGACAGGGGAAGGTTTTCTTGGTCAAGGGTACGTTAGTTACTGCCTCACCCTTGGGTGGGTTCTCGAGGCCTATTTGTGGCATCAAAGTAGAACATACTTTGCACGATCTCTTTGGGTTTCCTGTTCATCTTCAGTGCTCAAGAGCATGAAGTCGTGAAGGTTTCCTGGAGCCTTTGGGATAAACTTGAAAATGCCCAGGCTGTGGACTCTCTTAAAAGGGTGATCCTGGCTGGATCTCTTACCATTTCTGAGCCTCAGTTTCCTCATTCACCTGCATCATCACAGGGCTGCTAAGCAGATTCTCGTCACCTCCAAAAAGACCCATGAAGCAGTGACTCCCCACTCCCCGACCCCATAGCCCCAGGCAGCCACTAATCTGTTTCTATCTCTTTGGATTGTTAGCTTTGTAACTAGTGGATTTAAAAGGAATAATGATACTGCCTTTATACTTGTCACTTGCCTAAGGAACTCTGAGCACTCCATCAGAGCAGCTTAGATTCTTCTCCTGCTCTACCAGGAGACTGGCATAGAGGGTGAGTGGGTTTCCCTAGAAACAAAGGTCAATATGCAGGAGCCACTACTGTCAGATGGCCAGTCTGTAGAACATGCTTCCTGATGCCAAGATGCTCTTCCTAGGTTGGGTGCTTCTGATGTTATTCCACTGCCACATATCTATGGAGCACGAATCAAAGGTGTGGAAGTGTTCTGTCCTCTGGACCCCCCACCTCCATATGAAGCTGTGGTATACCAGACGGACCAGGAGCAGGTACTGCCAGAGGGGTTCCTCTTTGATATGTTAAGTGCAAGTGGGAAAAGCAGTATGTTGCACAGAGAACAGTAGGAGATGGTGCCCTGCAGATCTTTTTTAAGTTTACTGGGGTAGAGATGGGGGTTGAGTTGGATATTGATTAATAATCCTCTTTTTCTTCTTGTGATGCAGAGATCTGCTTTCCAAGTGCCAGAAAGATCAGAAGATGCCACAAGTCTGTTGGAACTGCCAATCTGCACACCAGTGACTCAAGGTAAGAAATACATATCACTGCCCAAACTCATGATTCAGTAGATTAAAACATGATAAAATAATGATCTGTGTGATATTTTCTTGGAGGTCAGATATCTTGGACCAAATGGTTCCAGCTACATCCTTCTTTCCAGATATAAATATATTGTCAATGTTTAGAGCTTACAAGTGGGAGATAATATGTGAACAGGAGTAAAGATATCCTCAGAATCTTTTATGAATAACCAGACTAATTCTCAGGGACATAGGAAATGGACTACAAGGTTTAATTTGGCATTTCTGTTTTCCAACCTAAGATTTTCCTTCTCCTGTTAAAATAAGATGGGCTCTTTTAAAGGGAAAAAAGAGTTTCATTTATTTCAGGGTGACTTGCTGTGAGATTGCACCGTCACTTACCACCTAGGGTCCAGGCCATGCTGCTTTAACATGCAGTGAATTCTGATTCTGAGTCCTGCATGACATACTAGAGTCAGTTTACATTTATCCTTGTAATTTAAAGGAACATTGTTACAGCTTTTTTCTCTTTGGAGAGTTTTTAAATGGCCCAGAGGATTGTCCACTGGGACAAAACTGCAAATGGTGATAAATAATGGATTGAGGTCAGCTATTTGGGCTGAAGGCAATTTTTCAGCAGCAGCAGTGCCATTTGGAATGGGTTTCTGTTCCATTCACCTTCCTTCTTAAGTAGAATTATGCAGCAATGTTCCATTTCCTAAGTATGTTTATAATTCTTCCATGTCTTTAAAAAGTTTCCTGGACCACAACTTAGGCTCCTAAGTGATGTGATTTTTATTTTCCTGAGCAGAAGTCATCCACTCTAGAGTGGTTCTGCTGATTCATTTAGTGGCCTTTGGCTCTTTCTCTTGGCCTTGCAGGAGTTACACAGTCTGGCCTGCAGTCTGGGCCATGCAGAAACCTTCTCTGCCTGCATTGGTCTGCAGCCCACAGGGCAGGCCCCTCACATGGGCAGGTATTAGCACCCACACAGACCCACCCTGATTTGGCCAACTCTGTAAAATGGCTAGGCACTTCCCCAGGCTGCACCAGCATGCTTCACTGGAGAAGACTCAAAGCATCATTAGGAAAAACTGACATGGTGGGACGGCCTCTTTATTTTGCTCTTGGATTTCAAGTGTTTTGTTTGTTTATTTGAGGTGTGGAGGGGAGGCGTGAGGAGGCAGTGTTTCTCATAGTGCTGGAAAGTAGAACTTACCAGGCCCACAGCCTAAGCACATGTTGACTGTTTCCCTGCCCTGGCAGGTTTGGGCTCATGGGTGTTTCCTGCCCACCACTTTGAAGGCTGCAGCTGGTGAAATAATTTGTTTCTCCTCTTTAAAAAAAAAAATCAGGTAGGGACATTCCTAACACACCTGGAGAAGAAAGCACATCCGTATCAGTTCCCAACTCTAACCAGCCACATCCTCCGTGGAGCCAGAAAGCCCTCCAGCCTCTGAGGACAAGATCGAAGAGCGACCCTGTGCTCCATCATTCCGTGGAGAGAGGTGATGCCATTCCCTAAGCTCTTTGCGGACCACTGTGCATGTTTGCTGGAAGGTGCCTGGTGAAAGCAGGTGGCCCCAGCCACCCCAAGCCCGGTAGTTCAAGAGGTGTCTTGAAGGAGGTTAAGAGGTCTTGGGAAAATAAGGCATTTTACATGCACATCAGGAATATACATCTGCTACACCTTTTAAGGCTGGTGGGATTTTTTTTTCTTTTTAAGTCGTCATCAAAAGCATTTGGGTGCCTGTTATACTGTGCTGGGAACTACACGAGAGAAATAATGCCAGCCTTGTTCTAGTATAACTTCTAGGTGCTCACAGAAACTTGGGAACAAAGCTCTCTCAAGGAAAAAGTCAAAGGGGTGTATTTTTTTACCCTCTTTCTATAATTTAGTGTTAGTTATCTTTTTACTGTATTGGAGTAGATTGAATTATTTCAATCTGACCTTGTTTTAAGAACTTTAGATAGAGTGGAACTCACACTCTATCCCTCTCTCTCTCTCTCTATCTTGGGTCTGTGTATAGATGCTATTTGAGTAATTACAAATTTTAAAAATTCTTTAAATTAACATTGAATCTTTTTAGGAATCTATGAGTACTTGACCATCTCCAAACATCTCTTCATTGTAGAAAATTGTAAAAAACAAAGGAAATAAAGGAAGAAAACGAAAATCTGCAATGCCACCAGCATTGGCCTCTTGTGGTGACCTGCTCTGACAAGTGGCCTGTGCTATCCTCAAGCTCCGGGCAAATACTACTCGCTCTTTGCAAACCCTCCCACTGCTCTTTCCAGGGCCCTGTGTCACCCCTGTACTGTCCTGGTTCTGTCCCTCTGACAGCCTTTGTTGTCTGCCACAGCTCTGGACTGACCGTGTGGGAGCCAGAGGGCACACTCCTCTCCTCTCCACAGTGGCTTCCGAGGGGGGCGGGGCCTCTGCAGCCCCTGCAGGCCAACACCCTGGCCCCTCAGCACCCCAGACCTGTCTTCACCATGGGGCTCTACCCTTCCTGGCAAGCTGAGGACTCAAGCCAGTCTCAGCAGGAACCTGGCTATCTGCACAGCTTAGCGAGACCCTCCCAGAAGCCTGCCCCATTCTGCAGCACTGCAGGGGCGAGGACGACACGCGTTTACCTGTCAGAGCCCTCCCTTAAGGCAGCCTGGGAGCACAGCCGCTAACCCACTTGGAGCTGCAAAGTGAAAGGACTGTCTCCTTCCTCTACCTGTTCCCCCTCCCCCTGCTTCTCTTCTCCCCCAATATCTAAAGGCCTGCTTTGCAGGCCTTCCCTGACTGAAATCTCCAGGGTGGTGTACACTGAAGGCTCCTGGCTGGCTTACGAACATGTGGAAGCCAGGACTGAGTTTCACTTCATCTGCCTGACGGTGCCATTGTGTTCCACTGGCCCTTCTGCCCCCGCTGGTGTCTGCAGTGTGAACATCGGAGCCCGCGGTGGATCTCCCTGGCCTGCGTTGGCTTCCGGAATGATGTGCAATTTTTCTACAGCTAGATGTCTCTTTCTGTAGTAGCCGTAGAGCTCCCCCACAGCCACGGTGTGAGCGCTGGTAATACTAGTCAGTGCAGTGCTCCCGAGGATGTTTAGGATGAAGGTACAGAGTGAACAGAGCATTCCGTCCACCCCACAAGTCTTGTCTCTCCTCAGCCCCTCTTTAAGTGGCCCCTTCATCCCCCCGCTTGGAACATTCTTTCATCAGTCAGCCACGGTTTTTCTGCCTGCCCCATCCAGCCTCATATGTTGGTCATGACCCCATGAAACCACGGCTTCACTGTGGTTTGCCTTCTGGATGCTTTTCTCCATCACTTGTCTTTACTTTGGTGGTTGTGTTTTATGTGGCACAATAAAATGTTTTGGAGACATCGTATTGGAACTACAGTTCAGGGAATAAGCTTGTCTCATAGCTGTTGGGTTTTTTTCTTTTTTTTCCCTCTTCCTTCTGCAAAATGTGCATGGTTGTCAGCATTTGTCATGTGCTTTCCATGCTGAGTCAAGTGGTCTGTGCTGTACTGGGCACAGGCGTGTTGCAGGTGTGTTCACAGGGGCGTGGCCAATGGGCATGTGTCATTTGTCTCTGCCCACAGCTGCCCCGGTGCTCAGCTGCGAAGCCGCAACTCAGACTGAGGGCAAACCTGATCTGGCTGAGGTGACTTTGAGGAGAGGTTTGAGATCCAGAGCTTCGAGATGCAGACCACACTCCTTAATAGATTACAAATCTTACATGGACACCAAGCTGCTGGTGGCGCGGTTCCTGGAGCAGTCCTCCTGCAGTATGACCCCGGGTATCCACGAACTCGTAGAAAACATTAAGTCTGTCTTGAAGTCTGACGAGGAGCACATGGAGGAAGCCATCACCAGCGCCAGTTTCCTGGAACAGGTAGTTTCATTATTAGTATCAGGAATGAATCAGATAACCTGTTTCTATAGCAGCTGAAGCGGCTTCTCAGGTTTTCTGTCCAAGGCACAGGGAATTCAAGGTCACTGCACCAAGGGAAATGGGGTTAGGAAGTCTCAGGAGGGGCAGAGAGGAAATGGAGCACTTTCTTTTCAGGTGAGTAGCTTTTCTGCAGCTTTCTTGGCCCAAGGAAAGAGAAAACAGTTTTTCTGTGATGTTGAAGCAGGGCTGTGAAAAGAAAAGGGCACAACTCGAGAATAAAAGCAAAAGGGGTCTGGGCACTGTGGAGCATGTCCGACATTAGGTTTCCTAGGTTGAGAGTTTCCCTTCATGCAGCATGTTTTTCTCCCTTTGACAAAGATGGATATACATGAATTTTAATATTGGCAAGATTCTGGGAGCTGTTCCCATTCCCATGAAATGTTTGGAAAGATGCCTAAGTCAATAGGATTTAGAGGAATAAACGCCTCTTCCTTCCCATAGATTAAAAAGTACACGGCAATCCCCTAAACCAAAGTTGCCCAGTGAAAAGCTAAAATTGTGCATGTAACATAATCCACCTGGGTATCAGATTTCTCATCTTTAGAGTGAAGGGTTGGACAACATTGTCCAATGAGATCTCTGAATGAGAGGAATTTTCCTCTGATGAGACCTGGGGGTGGGCACTGCTTTAATTACCCACCTCTTTTGTAGGCCTTTACTTTGTTGCCTCATGTATGTGGGGTGCTTGTCATAGACCTCAGTGCACAATGGCTGATGGGTGTTACCTGTGTGCATTAAGTGACAACACCCCCGTCCCAAATACTTCTTGAGTTGAATTTGGCTGATTAAATGTCTTTACCAGCTACAGGATCCTAGGTAAGTTTTTTAGGCAGATTGAATAAATCCCTTCTCACTTACCTTTCTGTTCCCCCTTTCTGCATGCTGGCTTCAAGCCAAATTCTCTCCCAGTCCCTCGGGGGACCCACGGTAGCAGAAAGAAATCTGATTACTCACCTGAAGAGGTGCAGGAACCGTGGCCCCTCTAGTCTGCTTTCTAACAGAGCTGGCAGCCAGTGGTCCTGGGTCAGGCTCCAGTTAGTAGCGTCCGGAGATTTACCTCCTCCTGTCCCTGGTCTACACCAGAGGTTCCCTCCCCCACCCCCTGTCTTTTCCCAGTAGCCCGATAAGCAGGAACAAGCATTTGGAGCCACTTGTTGAAGGCTGCCAAGCTCCAGTGAGATAAGAGCTAGATATCCGCCAAGCTGTTGGTCTGGATCTTCTGCAGCCTTGCTCCCTGGAAAATAGCTTTGGGTGAAAGACCAAGCACTCACAGTTTAACAGATGAGATCACTACAAATGTTTGCTGGGTCTTAGTGCTGGGATTTTTGCAGTAGACTCTGCGCCATCTGCTTGGGGCCTTGCAGGACTGGACCCCAGTGGTAAGGGATCATAACAGCACCTCCTCCCCAGACAGAAGGAGGCCGGGACAAGGGGAAGGGGAGCATTTCTTTCTGACTCCCCAGCTTCACACATTTTGACTTTCCTGAGTACTACTAGAATAGCAGTATCAAAATCACTTGTCCTAACTTACATTTCACAATAATTGACATCTATGAATGCTGGAATTTTCTTCTTAATCAGGAAACAAAAGTGGGCCTTAAAGACAAGTATAATAATAGCATGTTAGCAAAATTTAGTGTCCTACCTTTTGGGGGGATTGACCTTTTAATAACCTTAAAATCTCAGAACAGTACAAACTAAACAAAAGGTCATCCCAGTGATTGTTCTGTGATGTTAGGTGATAATAAAGCACCTGGGTCTTTCTCATGGTACTAATGGTACTATAGCTCATGTAGCCATGACTGCGATTCAAAAGAATTACATGTACTGTACAGTTCTCCACTCATCAATCCCAGCTGGATAAGGATTTTCCCATATTTTTGCCATTTCTACAAACTAAGTGGTATTATGATATATTTAAAGTTATATATATGCTACATTGCAAGATCTAGCACTAGAACCATTGTTAAGAGTTTTTACAAATAAACTGACCTAATTTTTATGTTGTTACATTTTTTATAGAAGAGTTTTCGGTTTAGTTAGAAGCACCATTGGTTTTGGTGGTTGACATTTTATAAACTCATTATCTGGCCAGAGTGCAGACAATTGGTTATCAAGTTTCCATGTACATCGGTGTCACCTGGGCTCCTGTTAAACGCAGAGGTGGTCCCACGCCACTCCAGACTCACGTCAGCATTGCCGTCAGGGCGCTGGCACCCGAGTTTCTGACGGGCTCCCCTCCCCTCTGGTAAGGTGCAGATCTCAGTGAGAGGCACTGGCCCAGACCAGGAAACCTGGGAAAAAGTGATGAGAAGAGTGTTAAATATAAAGCCAGAAACTGCAACAGACAAATCAGTGAAGTGAGGCAGGTTTACAAAGGAGACAATAGAAAATGTGGGGAATTTCTTAGGAACTTGAGAAAAGAGGCAAGACATATCTCTGGACTTCCAGGTGGGTTTCACTTTGGGAAAACACCCTTCTTCCCTTTCTAGAGCAATTAAATTAACATTACATGGCTTGGGTATGGGAGGCAGGGCAGGAGACCGCGTGGTGAAGCTTAACCTCTCCCACCCTCTTCGTTCTCCCAAAGATAATGGCCCCTTTGCAGCCCAGCGCTTGCAGGGCCCACGCGCAGCCCTCGCGGAGGCAGCCCGGCCTGCTGCACCTGCAGAGCTGCGGGGACCTGAGCACCTTTGTCCCGGCGGGGAGGCCAAGAGCCGAGAGGAGGCCCCAGCGAGTGGAGGCCGAGCGGCCACACAGCCTCATTGGTGTCATCCGAGAGACCGTCCTGTGAACCTGCAGGGCCAGGCTCCCGCATCGCCAGGAAAGCAAGAAGGAGGCAGCCCAGCGCTGGAGGGTGGAAGGCGGCCCCGAGGGGAAGGATGCCCTTGCTCCTCACGGCTTCCTGGCTGGGGTTGAGCTTCCCCTCGTGAGCTCCCCTGAAGGCAGGCATTTGGGAGGACATTCGTGCCTGCTCTTTGCCCCCCCCTTCCTGCTGACTGAGGGCAGTCAAGGATGCCCGAGCAGCTCCTGGCAGGCTCATCTGGCTTCTGGACGCCCCCACTGGGAGGCCATGAAGGCAGCGTCTCTCTGGCCTCTACCGGGTCACATGCCCGCTGCGGGCAGAAACCGGGCTAATGAGTCTTTGCCCACCGCACCCCCCCGTGGCTCACTTCCTGGCCGGTTCTCTCCCTCCTTGGAAGGACAGGCCTGTGGTTCCGGACCCTGCAGCCGTTCACACTTGGCACGGAAGCAGGGTGATTAACCTCCATGTTCTGCAATCGTCAGCCTCATTTTAGGTCACCCTCAAATCACGCTCTTTAGGAAAAACAGGAAACTTTTTCAGTGACAAATTGTAATGAAAGATAGGGAGAGCTTTTGTTGATTACATTTATTCCTGCCTGCAAAACTAGACTGCTAAGACAGAACTGAGAATAAAAATGTTTACATTAGACCTCTGGGCTCGGTGTAGGCATTTGTGTACCTGTAGGGGCCAAGCCTTACCTTAGGAGGGGTTTGGAGCTTGGAGCACCGGTAGTCAGGTGGTCAGGTCCAGGTAGGTCACCAAACCAGTTTAATCCTGGAGGCACCTAACCCCTGTGGGTAACAATATGTCTGTCATTGAACCAGCACTTAGCTGTATGGCTTAATGGAGCTGCCTTCTAGAGGGGCCATAAGCAAACAGTAAAGTGATTGCTGATTGAGGATTAATTCTGAGAAGGAAGAAGTGCAGACGTCCCTGGCTCCAAGCCAGCAGGCCACACTGGAGCAGAGGTGGAATGAGGAAGAGGGAAGACCGTTTGGAGGTGCCCAGCTGGGGTGAAAAGTGGCTGTGGGAACAGAGCTGGAAATGAGGACAAGTGGGGGGCCATCAAGGTGGAGTTGGCCCACCTTCCCATTTGTGGAGGAGGTTTATAGGGGCTCCCGGTGTCTCTGTTCTCATCTGCCAACCCCAGGCACTGAAATCCTGTGCAAGTGAGTGTCTTTCCGTTTCCCCAGAAGTCCTCCCTGTCAGCTCCATAGCTGTGCATTGGGGGTTGGCCGGCTTCCCTGTGCTCTTTGAGGGTCTCTGGTGTGTTCGTTACAAGCCCCCTGCCACCCCCAGAGCCCAGTCTGGTTGCTTTTTCCTCTTCTGCTGCTGTTTGTTTCCAGCCTGGTGTTTCCGGGTGAGGCCCAGCTGGCCAGCATGCTCCTCCCTCAGGGAGGATAGGACTGGCCTTACCCAACTCAGGCAAGCTGGCCTTTCTCACCTTTCTAGGCTTGCATTTTCCCCCAACTCTGGGAGGACATTACAGGCTGGTTTTTACAGTCTCTCAGTGAGTGTTTGCGTCTGATTGGCGGGATTTCCCCAAGACTCGTTCTTTGCATGTCCCACCTAATGGTGAGGTTTGGGGCAGGCTCCATGGCCTCTACCTGCATGAGGCTGCTCATATTTACCAAAAGAACCAGGCATTTGCTGAACAGCCACACTGGCTGGGCTGTCACTCCCCTTCCTGCAGAGGAGGAAACAGGCTCAGAGCTAAGAGCAGAGCAGCTGCCAGAAAGCAGTACCTCTGATTCCCTGCCCAGCGTCACTGGTGCAGCTCAAAGCTTCTCCAACTATTTGGGGTGAAGGGCCAGTCTTTTCCCCCTCCAATCTGTCATGGACCAAAAACTTTTGTAAATGGTAATGAACTGACTGAAAACTCTGAGTTGGCTTGGGCTGCTATAATAGCACACCTAGCCTGCGTGGCTTAAAAAACAGAAACATGTATTTCTTTCAGTTCTCAAGGCTGGAACGTCCAGGATCAAGGTGCTGGCAGATTCATTGTCTGGTAAGAACAGCCACATGGTGGGGAGAGCGAGCTCTGGGCTCTTGCTCTTCCTCTTATAAGGGGAACCATGGGGGCTGTACCCTCATGACTTCACCTAAACCCAATTATCTGCCAAAGGTCCCACTTCCAGATAAGGCTTCAACATATGGATTTTATGGGGACATAAGGACTGCTTTATCAGGAAAACAAAAATATAATAATAAAGACATATAAATTACAATCCTGTTTTAAATAGAATTATTTTTAGTGCAGTTTTAAAGCAAAATTGAGCAGAAAGTACAGAGATGTCCCATACCTGCTCCCCCACATGAGCAGTCGACCCAGTCATGAACATCCCCACCAGTGGTGCATTTGTTACAATTGGCGAACCTACACTGACACATCATTATCACCCTAAGTCCATAGTTTGCATTTGGGTTCACTCTTGGTGGTGTGCATTCTGTGGGTTTGGACAGATATGTAATGATACGTATCTACCATTATAGTATCACGCGGAGCAGTTTCTCTGCTCTAAACCTCCTCTGCGCACTGTTTATTCATCCCTCTCACCCCTCCACCTCTGGCAACCACTGATCTGTTTACTGTCTCCATAGTTTTGCCTTTTCCAGAATGTCATACAGTTGGAGTCATACAGTATGGAGTCTTTTCAGACTGGCTTCTTTCACTTAGTAATACGCATTTAAGGTTCCTCCATGTCTTTTCCTGACTTGCTGGCTCATTCAAACCCCTTTGTAAGTTGTTAAAGTCAGTAGTCTTACTCAATAGTCATACTAGTACTCTATCAAAGTTAACATTTCAAAACACCCTTACTTTCTGAATTTGCTCTTGTTAGGGACCAAGAGCAAGGGATTCTTGGCCCAGATCTGTGACCCACACTCTGAGGGTCCCACTCCAGTCTGAGCCTGTTTTGTGCCTAGGCCCAGGGGACACTGATGAATACCAGGGTCAGATGTGGGGGTACATACATCCCCACTTCTGTCTGCACTCAGGTGATTCCTAGGGCTTCGGAGAGCTGAGGCTGCCCTCACAGAGCAGTGCACACCATGAGGTCCAAGGTTCTGGCAGTCCTGCAGGATTAGGGAGAGCTGGCAGAGGAAAGAGGCAGCTGTTGCCACCACCCAGGGGAGTAGGAATGCGGGAAGCATTGCAAGGGAGCACATCTCCACTCCTACCCTCCAAACACAGCAGGATGCAGACAGGAACAACGAGGGGGCTGGGCTAGGGTATCTTGTGTACTGATTTTCCTCCCTGGGACCTCTACAAGAGAAGCCAAGTCTGGGTCCCAAAGGCACTACATTCCTTCTATTTCTCTCTCTCTGCAGGAGCCTTTATCTTCTCCTTTATCCAGCAGGTATTTATTGAGCTACAGAGCATCAGGCAGCCAGCCAGGTGCTGAGGAGAGAATGCTGAGCAGGTGAGGGGGACAGACAGAAAAAATATACAAATAATAATTGCAAAGTTATATTTCTCTTAGCTGCTGCTCCACTGCTCCCAGGCCCCAAGCTGGGGAGGACTGGACCCTCTCTTGGTTGACTTTGAAGACCAAAGGTCATGAGTCTGATTTATCAGAAGCTTGGTTTGAAGGCATCCCTTATTCCTGGTTGTGAATGTCCCAGGGTGAAGCTCTGTGGACCTGGGTATGTGACGCAGGCTGTCTCCATCTTGTGACTGTTAAAGAAAAGTTACTCATGACACCTGTTAAAGAAGGTAGGAAAGATTCTCTTGAAGCAGGAACTACTACAATGGGGTTTTGCAGTAGGGGAGTGAGATTAACGCTGAATACAATAAGGAGAAGTGCCAAGGAGTAGGGTTGGGGCCAGTGGGTTGAAGATGACTAAGAGGAAACATCAGAGCTTGGGGAATTGTTGCCAGACCAACTCAACAGCACTCTTGCTGAAGGTAGACCAAGGTGATCAGATACCAAGGGTGGGGGGTGAGGAATTTGATCAGATACTGAGCGGGACGAGATATGAAGGGTTTAATTTCCTAAATTGACTTGGCAGGTTCTTGCTAAAGCTGGACTGAGCAGGCCTAGGATAGAGCCCAGTGTAGGGGCCTGGTCAGAAAGAGGACTCGGAGGACCAGACTCAAGTTTGGCCAAGGAGTCTTTGTCAGAATCCGATGAGCACCTCCCTTCTGAGTGGGGCCCTCTGGCTGCACCATGTCCCTGGCCTGTATTGTCTCAGCAGGAACAATCATTTTTTCCAGCAACTGGCAGGATTCTTTATGTTTGCCCTAACAAAGGAGCTAGGGCCCCAATTCTGGATGAATCATCATTCTTCTCTTGCGAAGTGTCTGTGGGTCCCAGGTATATGGAGACTTTCCCAACATTTTTAGATACTGTGCATGAATTTTGACCCAAAAGGAGCATTTTGTAGTGGGGTGGGGATACACATCAGGCAGGAGAGGATCCAAGCAAGAAGTGTTGCTGGAATGGAATTACTTAGTTCTAGTAGGAGCTGTTCCTCTCACTGCTCCATATCTGCTTGGTGAGAGCAAGCAGGTTTTCAGCAATAATCATAAACCACAAGATCAGAGGTGTCAGGGATGGAGGACTGCCCCCCTGTTTTATCGATGAGGAGCCCAATGTCCAGAGAGGTAAACTGGTTTGCTGAAAATCACATAGCCTGCAGATGTCAGAATGCTTGAACTTTACCTGTGTCTTCTGCCTTCTGTCATAACAGATTTTTCTTCCCTGCACTGCAGCAGCATGGAACTGTGGGAAGGTAAAGGAAACATACCACAGGAACTTGTAAGGAATTGAAACATTAATTAAAGTATATCACTTAAAAATAGTTATAATGACTAACATTTATTGTGAGGCCTTCAGAGCTGTCTTACTAACTTAGTTCAGGTAATCTTCACAATAACCTTCACAAGCCACCAGTTCTCATGACTTGATTTCTCTTGTCTAATTGCATTGTCTGATTATCTCTAGTACATGTTGAAAAGTAGTGGAGATAGTGGACATTTTTTCTTTGTTCCTGATCTTAGACAAAATGCCTCTCTGATGCTTC